TCTGGCTCCCAGGCCTCAGCAGTCCCCAGCAGCTGCAGCCACTCCTGCATCACCCCAGTCTTCCTCCTGTCTCCATCTCCTTGTGCTTCCTCGGAGGAGGCCGAGTGACAGCTCAGTCTCCTGGAGGCATCTGGGAAGTCACTTTTTAGTTCATAAAAAATCGTAGCCAAGAGAGCGTGGTGGCACACACCTGTAATCCCAGCACAAAAGAGGCTGAGGCAGGAGGATTGCCTCAAGTTTGAGGCCAGCCTGGGCTACATAGCGAGACTCTGTCTCAAAAATAAAAATGAGCTGTATTTTATACATGCGGAGGGTTTGCTGGATGTTTGCCATGTCCTCATATCCTCCCATCTTCTCCCCTCGATGACCCAGGGACAGCAACACAAAGACAAATGACTCTGTTCTTCAAATGTACAATGCATCTGAACAGACATTTCTTCAAATAAGACATCACATAGTCAATAAGCTTGTCAAAAAACGTTCAACATCATTAACCATCAGACAAATGCAAATGTAGACTGCAGTAGGACGCCACTTCACACCCAGTAGGACAGCTATAATAAAAAGAACAAGTGCTGGGGAGGATGTGGGGAGATCAGCACCCGCATAGGTGGCTAGTAAGAGTGTAAAATGGTGCTACATTCTCTAAAACAGCCCACCATCTGCCCAAAATGTTAAACACAAAACTACCACGGAACCCAGCAATTCCACCCCTAGGTATTTGCCAACTGTAAACACTACTGTAAACACATATCTGTGCAATGCTTGTTCACAGCAGTGTTGTTCACAATAGCCAAAACACAGGAAGAACACAATTGCGCCTCAAGTGATGAATGAACAAACAAAATGTAGTTAATCCATACAAAGGATTGTTAGTCACAGAACGACTGATTTAACAGCAGAACAGAGAAACCTGAAAGTTATTATGCTAACTGAATGAATTCAGGCACCCCAGGCCACATACTATATAATTCCATGTATTAAAAATACCTAGAATAGACAAATCACTAGACACAGAAGTAGGTTGATTGGATGCTACCAGAGTCTGGGGGGAGGGTGAATAGGGAGCAAGTGCTAATGGGCACAGGCAATTAGCCAGGTATGGTGGTGCACAGCTGTAATTCCAGCATTAGGGCGGCAGAGGCAGGAGGATCACCATGAGCTCAAGGCCAGCCTGGGCCATAAAGTGAGTTCAAGACCTGTGTGAGCTACATAGCAAGACTCTATCTCAAAAACCAAAAATAAATAGATAGATAGATAGATAGTAAACAAAATTCTGCAGTTACATGGTGTTGATTGTACAACCTTGTCATTGTATTAAAAAAAAAAAACCCACTGAATTGTACACTAGAACGCAAAGGGTGATGCTATGGTATGTGAATTATGCATCAACTTCAAGAATAACCAGTGAATGGACAACATTATCCTGGCTTTACCAGCAAGGACACAGGGTTGGCAGGAAGGTTAGCATCTCAAATGCCAGGCATCCCACCAGCCAGTCCAGAGCCTCACCCTAAGGATGGCTAGAGTCAGTGCGAGTGGAGGAGGGCAGAGGAGCTGCCCCAGGTCTGGGCAGGGCAGGAAGGCCTGGCTGGAGCCCCAGCTCATCATGTGGCTGGGCTCGGTGTCCCGGTGAGATAGGGCCATTCAATCCAGGCCTGCCGCTGTCCACACACAGGCGGTTTGAGCTGTCCAGTAGGCGAACAGGCAAAGCACCTAAGGCAGTGCCTACACTGCAGGGCAGGCTTGCCCCGGGTGCTGGGCGTGGCCACAGGAAGCCTGCAGAGACTTGAACATCTCTTCACCTAGATTCCCTCCTGTCCTGCAGAAAGGAAATGCAGCAGTGGGCCTGAATGGACCACACTGGCTTGTTGTCTGATGTAACTGGGCAATGCCAGATAAGGGAAGCAGCCAGCCAGTGCATTTGCATCAAAGAATTCGTGAGCGCTGAAACTTGGCAGGAGCTCTGGAAGGGAACTGGGGATGTGTGACTCAGGACTCTGCTGGCTGTTGGTGACCCCAAGTCTCTTCCCCATGGCTCCCACACCAGAACTCCCTCTCCAAGCCTTCACCCTAAGGGCTCTTCTGCCTTTCTTTCAGGAACAGTGTTCAAAGCCAAGTGTGGAAGCGCATGCCTGTAATGCCAGCTACTCTGGGAGGCTGAGGCAGGAGGACAGCAAACGCGAGCCCAGCTTGGGGAACTTAGCAAGACCCTGTCTCAAAATAAATTTCAAAAAGCGTTGGGGTTGTAGCTCACGTGAAAGCCCTGTGTTCAATGCTCAGTACAGCAAAACAATAGCAACAGCAGTAGCTGGAGCAGCAGCAGCAACAACAACGAAGACAACACCACTGTATGTGCAAGTCCTGGCACTGTCGTTTATAAGACTGTGAACACTCAGCCCTCTCATACTTTTTCACTTTCCTGCTGTATGCCAAGGCCACCAAGCCCGGGCATCTGCTCCTGTTCCTGGACGGATCCTGACCCCCATCACTGTGCCCAGGTGACCTGTGAAGGCTGCGTGGTCCCTATGGCAGGGGAGGAGGGCATGGGCCTGAGGGCCTCGTGATGTCTTCCCTCCACGGCACTGATGTCAGGGCAGGGCCCACAGACCCTGGCCCCGGCTGACCCTAGAGGGGACCCGAGGGAGACCGTGGGGAAGACACAGTCCTGCCACCTCTCACGCCCTTGAGCCCTGTGCACAGATGGCAGAGCTGGACTCAGACCACGAGTGGTCTACAGGGTCCGCAGCCCCGCAGTCTGTGCCCAGCATGCAGCCCCAGGCACCCCCAGCAGGGTTTCTACACTGCCAAGGAGAGATCAAAGCTTTCTTTTTGCTTCTTTTCTTCTTTTTTTTTTTTTTGAGGCAGGGTCTGGCTGTCTACATCAAAGCTTCCCTGCCCGGGGGAAGGCGACAGTGCTGACCTCTCTTGAGGAAATGAAGGGTGTGGGGCCAAAGTGCACGCCCAAGTCACGTGGGTGGCACTGAATGGCAGCCTTGTCTTCCTGCAACCCCGGCTCCAGTTCCCAGTCGTAGTCAAATCGAGTCTCCTCCTCACACACAGGCTTCTGCTACGAGTCCAGGCTCAGCACTCGGAGCTCTGAATGCCTAAGCCGGCAGCTGGAGGCCCCGGTGTCGTCCCCTCACCATGGTGGACCAGGGTGGATGAGGGCTTGGGGCCTGGGGAGTGGGGCTTAGAGTCCTTCCCCCTACGGACGTTGCCAGAGCAGAAGAGGGAGTCTTTGTGGCTGCCTTACATTTTGGGGTTTGTTTGTTTATTTGCTTTTTGGTTTTTTGAGATAAGATCTTGCTATATAGTTCAGGCTGGCCTTGACCTCGAAATGATTCTCCTGCCTCAGCCTCCTGAGAGCTAGGATCACAGGCGTGTGCTACCAGGTCTGGTTTAGGTTTTAGTTTTCATATCTCCTTAATTGGCAAAATCAAGGGTGTGATGTCTTCCAGGATTGCGAACAGTCTGCTGGTCTGAGGTATCCCCAGTTCTACAGTGTACTGCACTATTCAGAAAGGGTGGCTCCCCCCAGGGCCAGAGGAGAAAGGGAGCCTGAAACCCTGAGACGTCCAGGCTTGGTCGGACAGGGTGGTGAGCAGCCGGTGACAGGGGAGGTGGAGGAATCCATATGAGACCCAGGCCTGGGTGCCAGTTTTGCCACCAGCTAGGAGGGCAGCTATGGACAAAAGCTCCAACACCTAAGGGCTCCACCTGCTCCCTGCAGAGTCAGGGCCATTGGCAGAGGCTGCTTGCTGTGGCCCCAGACTAGCTTGGCATCAGAGGGACCCAGGATCCACCCGAAAGCTGAGGACATGACACAGACCCCATGGCAAATAGCAGTGGCCATGGCCACATCCCACGGGGCCGCAGAGAGATGTAGAGAGGCAGTGGGCACAGGCTGAGCCAGGAGGTGTGGAAGCAGAGCTGCCTGCCCCTTTGAAAGCTGTGCACGGGGGTCCCCAAGGCTGCCTTCTCCCTTCTCCTGGGTCTCCTGAGCCTCACATCCTTCACCCCAGCCCCTTCTCCAGGGGCTCACAGGCACCGCAGGCCGTCTCAGGAATGGAAGGGGCCAAATGCTGCTTAGCCCAGCAGCTCTTCGGTGAGTCAGCTCAGAACAGCAGGGCTGTGCTCCGTCACCCACTTCCCTCCTTCCTGGAGCAGGGCCCTGGCTGGCCAGAGGGATCTTTCTGCAGCCCAGGGACACCACCTGAGGCCTCTGGGTGGACACACCCTTCCTGACTGTGCCTGGCACTGATCGGAACGTGGTTAGACCACAGGGCCCGGCCTCCCTCCCAACAGGACAAGAAGTGGGTGCTGAAAAGGAACCACTGGCCAGCAGCTGCTTCCCTGTTGCTGGGACAAGGAGCACATTCAGCAATGTCCCCCAGCTGGACGGGGTGGGGGAGCCCCCGGGGGATGCAGGGGGTGAGGGCACAGCTGGGAGGTGAGGAAGGTGCCAGGGCCCATGTGAGCAGAGCAGCTTTCGGGGTGATTGTGACTTCCTCTGCACTTGGGGCCCAGAAAGCAACTTCAGGGTGAACTGAAACCTACCCCAGACTCCCAGCTCCCCAAAGAGTGGCTTTCTCTGGGCCCCACGGCCTGGGCACAGGAATGGGTCCTCCGCACGGAGCCCTTCCCAGGGTTCTGAGCTGGGCACCTCTACCAACGCCTGAGCTCAGCAAGCCACCAGCTAGCACACCCACCTCCGTGGGGACCTCCTGCTGTCAGGGAAGTCCCCAGGACCTCGGCTCATGGCCAGGCCCGGAGTGGCTCTGAGAGCCCCAGAAGCAGCTCCCTGAACCCCAAGGCCCAGGTCCCAGGAGCCTTTGCCGGACTCCCCAGAAAATGTGGTGGCATTTGCAAGTTGGGCCACTGAATCCCGTGACATCAGGACAGGCCACCCCAGCCCCTAGCTGGCTCCCCCCACCCCGAAATGGGTCCTCGGTGGCCTCTCGCCAGGCACCTGGGCCCAGGAGGATGAGGGTACTCACAGCACACAGAGTGCAAACGCCCGGGAGATGGACTCGCTGGCGCGCACCAGGAAGCTGCCATCCCTGCCAGCCCTGGACAGCAGCTCCTCCGCCTTGGAGCGGGTGATGTTGCCGTGGTTCCAGCCAGGGACCATGGTGGGAGTGGGTCTCCTGCACCAGGGACCTGCCGCCTGTCCCCTCCGGTCACCTCTGTTGCTTCCACCAGCTTCGCTGACTGCCTGACTTCCTGTTTCAGGCGCTCAGTGAGGGAAAGGAAACTGCACTGCAGAGAACTTCCTCGTTACAGAAACCAAGAGAGAACAGAGGCCCAGCATCCACCTTCCCAGCGGCTGGCCGCTGGGTGCTGGCCCCTCCCTCCGCCTCTCCAGCCCTTGGTTTCCCTGTGATGGGTCCCAGCCTTCAACAGCACCCCGAGTGACCCAAAGTCCTGCCTGGGGGGCGGGGCACGGCTGCCTCATCACCAAGAGATGCATGGCTGGCTTCTAGAGCAAAGTGGCTCGGCCAGCAGGGACTCGCCCAAGGAGGGCCCATGTGGGATTGCGTCCTAGTCACACCCCTGAGCCTTCTGGTCTGCCCTTGGGCTGCCTGACTTCCCTCCCACCCCCACATAGCCAGCAGCGGCCAAAGCCAAATGGATGGCAGGGGCCGTCCACCCCTCCCCTCCCCCATGGGAGGCCTTCAGACACCAGCAGCCTGGTGCCCGGCCCCACCAAGACTCTGAGAGTCCAGGGACAGCTCCCTGACTCCATGAAACCCGTTTCCTAGGGGCCAGCATTTCCATAAGCAATGCTGGCTCCTCCGTGCCTGAACTTGGCTTGGAGATGTGCAGGGGCCCGAGGGCTCAGGATAGGACTGGCCCCAGCTCCACTGCAGGCTGGACGTCCCCACGGGGCAAGCTGGCTGAGGGTGACATTCTTCCTGCAGCACAGCAGGGTCCGGGGTGGCCAGTCAGCTCACACCTCCTCAGTGGCTGGGCACGGCCCCACCGAGGGGCCACCGTTCAGTACCAGCAGATTTCTGGGGGCCAGAGGTGAACGCTGCCCCTTGAATCCCAAAGCTGGGCGCCTTCAGTCCTGGGCTTAGGGGCAAACTCCGACCTACTGCACACACAGCGACCCCGCTCCCCACTCCCATGTCCAGGTCTCGTCCCCAGCTCAGGCCAACAATCCCCTCTCCCGGGAGCTGAGCCCTGAGGGCCACACTGGGGCTGCAGGAGCTTGGTGGGTTTCTATCACTTTCCACCTGGGCTCCTCCTCTCACTGGAGGGCCTGGCTCTAAGCTGCGGCCGCCGTCCTTCTGGGACAGGAGCCCACAGAGCCTCCCACCCCCAGAGGGACGCACGACAGGTCCCTTCGAGCGAGCCACGCCAGGCGTGGGGTGGTCGTGATGACAAGAGCTGCCCTTCCTGTTTTCATTCTCCAGCCAGCATGGCCCTGAGGATGTCTGGCCTGCCTCAGGCTGGGGGGAGGCCCCGGGGCCCCAGGGCCAGCGCAACTCACCGCCGCCGGCAGCCCTCTCCTGAGGGACCCCTGCTGGCCTCCCAGCCTCCAGCACCCTGGTGCCTGCTTCCTCCCTGCTGTCTGCTCACAGCCACCAGGGTCCACTGGGGGATCCGTCCACAACCTCGGCCCCTTTATTCCTTGACCCGTTTGTCTCTAAGCACCTAAGACCGGTCCAAGACCCACATCCAAGATCCGTCCACCCACAGGGCCCTTCCTTCTACACCCACAGCTTCCCACCCGACTCACACCTTCATTCCCACCATCCTTGCCTTTCACCTCAAGGAGAGTGCCTGACACACACATGACACACGCACGGCACACACTCAATGCACACAGATGGACACACGACACACGACGCACATTTGACACATTCACACTCCCTGGGCTTCAGGGCCCCTCCCATCTCACTTCCTTTCTACCCAATCATCTGAGTCATCAGCATCCTTGTCCCCCAAACCCCAGCATCTAGATCCAGGTGCTGTGATTTATCAACAAAGAAGTAGGACAGCCAGGGAGATAATCAAGAGTGTGCAGCTGTCCCCACGAAGAGACTACGAGGTCCCAGCCTTCTCTTCCCACGCAGCTCCACGAGTTGCCTCCCCGTGTTTTTTGCGTCAAATGCACCACCCTGGCTGCCCGCGTCTTGCACAGCTACAGGGAGCAGTGCTGCTGTCACGCACGATCCCGCAGCTGTGCAGAACACGTTTGTTCTGAGGCTGCACCGACTTTCCGAGCTCTTCGCTTCCCTCGAACCGTTCCTGCCCTGCTGGTTACTCCGTGACTCACGCCCCCCATGAAGGTGACACCATGACTCCCTCTGAGGCCTGGACGTGACCACAACACGTCTTACCCACAGCAGCCAAGAAAGTGTTAATGATAATTCCTTTGCTTGTGAGGCTACCTTTACTGTTCTGAATTTTGTAGCAGAAGCATAGAACAACTAATCTTCCAACTATCTGCCGTCGGACTTTCTGTTTGTTTGCTTTTGGCTTTTGGCTTTTTTTTTTTTTTTCTTGAGACTGAGTCTCTATATATCCCAGGCTGGCCTCGAACTTGTGGCTATCCTCCTGCCTCAGCCTCCAGAGTGCAAACCACAACCCACATTCTCTGGGAGGTGTAAGGCCGCAGTCACTGTTTTCTGATCCCTGTTCGTGATGACCGCCCCTCACGAGAGCAGGGCTGTTTACCCCTCACCTGGCATGTGGTGCAGTTGGGGGTGGGAGAGGACGCTGGTGGAATACGCTGTGTGCTGCGGAGAAGGCGGCTGCCCCACAGCCGGCCAGGGGTCTCCGGGGCTTGGAGTGACTGCCCGTATGCTGTTGGCGAGGGGCGGAAGGTGAGGAGCACATGCCACCCCTCTGCTGCGGCGGTGCCCGGGCTCACTCGGAAGGAGGGGCCCCCGGGAACCACAGCCCAGCTCGTGGGTGCAGAGATCCGTGCCCCTTGCGGCACCCGGCCAGCCCCACACGTCTGGCCATGGCTGGGAAAGCAGCTGAGGGGGAGATGTGAGATCAGGACTCAAGGAGGCGCAGGCCAGGCTGGGGCACCCCGCTTTGCCAACCCTGGCCACTCCATGGAGCCAGACGAAGACCGGGAAAATTTCTGGAGCAGCACTGGGGTGGTCTGGCAGCCCTTGGTCCCGGGCACTTGGCAACCTCTGGAGGGACGGACGGGACAGACAGCGCTGTGCTGAGGGCTGAGGTGGGTGCCGACCTGCAGAGGCTGGGTCTGAAACCACTTGGCTGGTGAGGCCAAGGAGCAGGCGAGGGGGAGCCCCAGGGCACCCCCTAGTGACTGGGCGAGGGTCCTCACCACAGGCAAGAAGCAAGATGGTGTCAGCGGGAGAAGGGGCAGAGCCAGGGCAGGGACCCTGCAGTCACAGTTGAAGGGACAGGACTGGGGCGGGGAGGCGGCTTCTGTTGAAGGCATCGAATGCAAAGGGCTGTGACAGTCATTGCCTATGCCAGCTTGGCCAGCCACAGTGCCAGACACTCTCTCAGATGTTCCAAATGGCTCAGTGAAAGCAGTTCTTAACATTCTCTGGGTTTGGCTCAGCCCGATTCCAGCAGTTAAAGGCCTCAGGGGTCTCCAGCTGCTGGCAACCTCTGGGAACTGCGGATCTGCAAGCTCTGTGGTCAATGAGCCAATTCCACAAACACATTTATGTCTCTCACATTTATGTCTCTGCTATCTGCCTGCTTGCCTACTCGTCTGTCTGTCATCCATAGTCATGCATATGGTATGTAAAACCAGGCATGGTGGCATACGTCTGTAATCCCAGCAGAGGATTACAGAGGGAGGCTGAGGCAGGAGGATGACCATGAGTCTGAGGGCAGCCTGGGCTACATAGTGAGATCCTGTCTCCAAAAACCCATTGCTGCCAAATAAGACTGCTGACCTGTCCTTAGAAACCTGAAAGCTGGTGCAGACTTGGCCTCCTTGTGGACAATAGTCCTCTCAAGCATCCATCTTCAGTGTAGAGAGCTTTCCTCCCCATAGAAGATTTGTTCAGGCAAGAAATTTTCCTCCACAATCAGCTTACATCAGGTTTCCAAAAATTCTTCCACTGCTGAAACATTGTTCTACGGTGTGTGACTCTAGTTAGGCATCACATGGCATTTTGTGTAACTACACACTTCTATGACAATGGTCTCCTATGATTACATGGGGGCTGAGCTGGGCATGGTGGCGCTCACCTGTAATACCAGCACACAGGAGGCTCAGGCAGGAGGATCGCTGTGAGTTCAAAACCAGACTCATCTCAAAAAATGAAAAAAAAAAAAGATTAATTAACAATGTGTACTGTAAAACAGCAAGGCTGGTGACAACAGACACAGCCTCAGACATTTCAGATTTACTGAATCTCGTGGTCCCACCCCTGGCTCTTGTGCAGGGTGTGTGTGTGGGGGGAGCATCTCCCTGGGCTCCCATTTCCTGCCATCAGGAAAACCGTGGAGCACAGCATCAGACAGGACTCTGCAGGGAGGATGACTTATAAGAGGAGGGGAGGGGGTGAATCCCAGCCCCACCCGCTGGAGAAGTTCCATGGGACTGGGGCGCCTCCAGACTGAGGTGATCATACCCCTGCTTGTCAGCCAGGTGGGATCCTCCCCGGCCCCAGCGACTCCACCTCTCGCCCACCTCTCTTCCCCATCCAGCTCTCTCTGCTCTCCCAGCCCAGCTCCCCCAGCCTCCCCTCCCCAGCTGTACCCTGCCTTAGCCAGGATGCCCAACTTGGCCTGCAGGCTGGCCTTGAACTCACTGTGTAGCCCAGGCTGGCCTCCAATATGAGGCAATCCTCCTGCCTCCGCCTCCCGTGTTCTGGGGTTACAAGTGTGCAATCCCAGCTTTGCCACTAATATTTAGCATCCCCCAATCGTACAGCTGCTGTCTATAAAGGCCTCACGACATCCGTGCTAAAGTTATGTGCTGGGCCTGGCATCAGGTGGGCATTCAGGATGCACTGGGTGCCCTGGAGGGCCTCCTGATCAGTGCCCAGAGGCAGAGCATGGGGGCCTCCGGTGCCCACAACCCTGGATTGAAGGAAGACAGGATTCCATATAAGTCCCCTTTACTAGGGTCAGGGTCTGAGCCCTTCGGCTTCGGGCCACCAGGGGGCGCCCTGAACGCTG